TATATATATATTATAGATTTTTATTTAAAAAAAGTTTGGATGAAAAAGAGAAAGAATTTCCAGTCTGCAAATTTAATTGATATTATTCGAATATGTATGGATTAATTTTTAAAACATCTTTATTTGTATACGATACTGTTAAAGTATCATGTAAAAAATGTATCTTATAATATATATTCTACATTAAAGTTTTTTTATAATGTATAATTAATTTTTATTTTGCCATGTCCTTTTCCTCACAATGGAATTTATCAATATTGTCTTTATATAAAAAGTTTTCTCTCATTTGTATAAATTTTTGATAATGTATATAATGTGAAGAACTACGAATAAAGTTGATTAATGACCTTGATCTAACTCTTTCATCATTCACTGAAATCCGTATCCTCTATTTTCATTCTGCTGCATCTTCGTATTTTGTTTATTATTACACACATAAATACGGAAATCAAGTTAACCGGTTGTCAACCGAACGATTCGTTTCCTCTACAAAATGATTATGATATTTCTCGACGAACATAAATTTCGCGTAACTATAAAATGCCGTTTTTCATATTTAGCGGAACATGAGAATTCAGGAAGCGACGGTAAAGTCATAACAAATTCATCGCGTAAACGTTACAACAGGAAGTATTCGGATCCGCGCAAACAGTCAGTGTTTATTAATTGCAAAATCAAATCAACCACCGAAAAGGCGGCAATTTTTCATATAAATGTAACGCCGGGAAGAAGAGGAGAAAAAGAAAGAGAGAGTATTGTCATTGAGACAGATATGAGGTCCTCTTTGATCTTGGGAGTTACCTTACTCCTGACGATAGCGGCCACGTCTATCGTCCAGGCACGTACAACCAGGTCAGCACACACCTGCGGTTTAGGTCCAGGTATGTGAAATACATTCCGCACACAAATTATTAACTCTAATTTCATTCTAATTTATCATTTCGACGCGCAGTTCTTTCATTCAAAGTGATCAAATTTTTTTGAAATATCTAAAACAGATATAAATTTTATTCTTGTATAATATTTTATTCCTGTCTGTAATTTTTATCAATTATTTTTTTTTTGTTATCGATATATGTGTCTCTATAAGATTTTGCTATTTTGAATTATAAATCGAAATACTACAATTAATATAAAAATTTCGAGGCAGCTAGAAGAGAATCAAAGTAGAAAATTGGATATTAAATTTTTAATTTATCTCCAAACAATTATTAATTATACACTGTATATACAACATAAAATTTGTAAATTTATAAGCTAAAAAGATAATTGCTTATAGCATTTTTTTCTTTGCTACATTTCTTATATCTTTGCATTTATTATATTTTAATCGAGATGTTATATTATATATTTAAACTATTTTACTTATTGTACAAAGATCTGTTTATGTACATTTAAAAGTTAATTAAATATTTTACATTTGCTACAAAAGAAAAAAGTATCTTATTATTATTTACCAAAACTCTCTCCTTAAAAGACTGGAATTTTTTATTTGCAACACTGATTAGATAATTGTTTTTACTTTCAATTTTTCAGTGCAGCGCATATAAATGTCTTCTCTGCACATTTATCATTACTTTGTAAATCACATCCTGTAAAAATTTATAACAATTATTAATCTATTAATGTCATGTCTCTTCACATAATGCTATTTTATATTACATATTGCGAATACTCTGTATTTTCCTTTCCTCTTAATTTCCCAGTAAGGATTTCTTTTAGGACGTGATAAATAAGATCATGTAACAATAATCATAATCATAATCATGATAAAATGTCGCATATAAAAAAGTTAATGATACGAATCCAGATATTTGTACCTTCAATTTTTAGGCACTAACGCGTGCAAGCAATGCGGGGAAATAGTGGTGAAAGCATCGAAACAGCAAAAACCGCTGGTGTTTGCATCGCCGCAGGCAATTAATGAGGCTGCAATAGCGCGTGAAGCGGTTGGAAGATTTTCCGCAGGAACGGGATCGAGAAGCATTTCCAGTTACAGTCCCTATAGTAGTGGAGTAGTTAGCACTAGCAGCAGCAGCAGCAGTAGTAGCAGTAGCAGCAGTAGCAGCTCTTCAAGTTCTGCATCTTCCGTCGGTTTTCTTGGAAAACTGGGAATCGGTGGAAGCTATTCTTCTCCTTTCAAGACTGTCTCGCATGATGTGAGCACCAATTCCGGTTGCGGATGCGGAAAGAAATCCGAACCTTTGGAGGTTCTTCTGTCCTCCGATACTAATAAACAAATCGTGCCCAGGTATTTCATGTCATGCATTTATTTATCTATACGTTAATATGTATTACGCATTGCGATTTCCACGGGGAAATCTTGAAGTTAAGACGATCTATAAATAATACAGGTTAATTTATACTTTACGTATTCAACACTTTATCCATTTTTAAATAATAATTTATAATATATATATAATCGACAGTTTCCCGCCGATCGGTGACTTATGTTATCCGAGCAAAGTTCAAAACGGCAAACTCCAAGTGACCACCAAAGTGATACCGGCGTATCCCAGCAAGGCCTCATGCACTACTCCTCCAATTCCTGATCAGGTTTGCGTAAACGTACTCAATGGACAGATTGATGAAACTGGAATAAGAAAACTCGGTTTGGCACAAAGCGGTACCAGCACGGCGTTCGGTGGATTGTTCGGTAAATTAAGCGGCGGAAGTGCGTTTGGTAGCGCAAGTAGCCTCGGTGAATATATTACCAGCAATACAGGCAACACTCAATACGGTTCTGGAGGATACGGTAGCTCAGGTAGCGTTTTAGGATACGGTAGCTCGGGCAGTCTTGGAAGATACGGTAGCGCAAGCAGTGCAGGATATAGTAGTTCTGGCAGTGTTGGAGGATACGATTCAACTGGATATACTGGATACGGATTAGGATATACAGGATATGGAAATCTGGGATACCTTGGAAACGAATTTGGAACATCGAGCGGTGTTGAATTTATTGAAAACGACAGATCTAACTGTGATGACTTTGGTGATGGTACGTTTCCAAAAATACATAAATTTAGATAAAGCTAAAATAAAGATAAAGCTAGAACAAGATTTTTTATCTCTTTTCAATTAAAAAGTCAGAATTATATAAAATTAATAATATTTGTTTCTAAGCAAATTCAATTAAAATTATAATTATTTGTAGACAGTTGATTAATTAATTTATACTTTGAACAACTATAATTATTACATACACATTACACAAATCCATAATATACTTACTTTGGTGAAATTACAAGACTAAGATAATATATTCGTTTATCTTAGAATTGCCCAAAGATTATTCGTATCCTCGACTACCTGCGGATCCGGTTTCGCTTACCTTAGCATACAAAAATCTCTTCCCGCGCTTACAAATGGCATACAAAACGAAGTCGTTCATGCCGGAAGATAAGCTGGCATTTGGTCATAGAACGATACCAACCGAAACAACATCCAGCAAGAAGAGATTAGACGTACCTGAAGAGAAACTTCAGATCCTCGATAAACCCGTCGTAGAGCTAAAAACGACGCCACAGGTTCCCATCACCGTCGGCTTTTATAACGAACAGGAAGAAGTTAAGTTAGCCGAGCTCGAGGCTATCGAACGTGAAAGAATACATCAGGAGGAAATCGCCGGGCAACAACTACAGCATGCAAACATTATTACATACGGGTAAGTCGAAAAAAATATTTGGCAAGTTTTTATATATCAAGTGATTTGTCAGTATCTTAAAGATTAATTAATTGCTTCGTCGAATTTAAGTATTTGCATATTTATGCGTTAGTGAGAGAGATAGCTTTTTATATAAATATATTTTATATAAACTTTATTAAAATCAAGAGTCATTTTCAAAATTCACAACAAACACCTTTATTTCTAAATTTATTTCTAAAATCAAAATTTGTTGTCATTTTTATAATTAATAATGACTGTTTTTATGTTTATTTTATGATTATTTTTAAAATTATTTAAAAATATCTCGATAATGAATTAGAATAACGATACATAAATGCAATAATATTCAAGAACGAGCATTATTCACGTACAAAATGGCAGTTAAAATATCAAGTAAAAATCCGGTGTTGTAATATTAAAAAAAAAAAAAAAATAATAATTTGTGAAACATGATGAATTTGCTGAATAAACAACTGCTTCTATAATATTCATGTATTTCGATGTATAACTCGTTTTAGGGACTTAGGATACGCGCCAGTCGGTGCACCAGGAAAGTTGGTAAGGCCTCTATCATTGAATTCTCTCGATACGCTCGATGTAGAAGACAGAGGTTGCGGTCCGGTAGGACCACCAGCCTTCGACTACGTTCCCGGCAGTGTCGTGATCAATCAAGAAATCATGAATGGAGACGAAATCGAGGATGGCATCCAGACAAACGTCGGCACGGCATACATTCGTTACGAAGACGACGAGCGCAGCGATGAGGAAGATGACGACGAGGACTCGACGTCCGGGATATTCGCCAGACTGAGAAGCTCCGCTCAGAAATACGGAGTTCCGTGTGGGGCTGTATAATCTTTCATATAGAAAACACGAAATGTGAAAAGCATTCGTTTCATTGACGATTCGTGATCATCAAGATGAATATTGGTTGTTTAGAAACGAAGACGTGGACACCCTCAAATATTATACTAGTCCTAGTCCTGCGTCTTTGTGATGTCACTAATGTTAAGATAATATATTAGCGATTATACGAGAGAAGAGAACCAGAAATCGTTGAATTTATTATAGAATTCCCTTCCCTTTTCCACATCCTTGTCCTTTTACTGATTTGCGAAACGTGCCTATATGGATAATTGATGATAAAGCAAAAAAAAACTTAAAAAGATTTTAATTATATGGTCTATTTTCTAACAAATATTTTAGACAATTGACAATCATACAAGCATAATTTTAGAAATCAGCATTTTCGTTCTATTGTAAGATTTAAATAAAAATTGTATTGAAAAAAATTATTCTAACAAATCATTGTAAACTTCAAATCAATTTAACAAATATCTTCCATTAACTTCAAATTATTAAATATATATATA